TTCTGGGGAAATTTTGGCAGCTATCTAAGAAGTACTAGCCAAGTTCTGCATGTGAAGACATTCTCTACCAACCACTAAGACGCACAGTCTGTGGAGATGCTGCAAGCTGTGTTAATACTGAGGAATTGGAACCTCAATTGTGTGATACTGTGAAATTTGAAGTAATTATATCACACATAACATAGATGTCCAACCAAAGTACATGTAGATTGTGTCAGTGGTCTACTATGACTTGATTTTTGGATTATACATTCTTTTGTGTATAAATCCACAGATGGAAGAACTGTAGGCCACTGTCTTGTAGATGGGAGAACTACAAACAATAGCCACATTCCATTACATTCTCCCTTCTTTGACATATAAGCTATGCCTTCTTTCTACTTCTTTCTTCACTTTCTTCTCCTTTCAAAGATGGAATTGGTACTCATGGGACAATGAGCTGTGAGTTTGGATTCAGACAACCTGGGATTTATCACCATGACTTCATTACTTGTTAACAATCACTCATCCTCTATTCATTTTTACACTTTAAAAAATAAAATAATATCCTATAACAGGATGTTGTACTAGCCTGTGAGATGTGAGGTAAACTGGTTTCTAAATTCTATCTAATACAATCTCATCCTATCTATCTATCTATCTATCTATCTATCTATCTATCTATCTATCATCCTTAGATGTTATTATTCATCAATCATTTGGGGAAAAAAAAACAGAGAAAGAGACAAAACTCTGTGCCGTTCTGAAACTAAAAAGTCTGTCATCTAAGATCTCTTTGGAAAGGTAACATGACAAATGTGGGTTGAGTTCTTGTGACCTATGAGTTAAACACTCCAGGTTTCTAGCAGAGATGAAAGATGCTTAACCAGATAGAACATCTAGTGTTCCTTGTTTTTTGTTTATTTTAGGTTCATTTGGGACATGAGGAACAAAAGAGTTCCTACACATTTGATTTTGTTAACATCCATTAATGCCTTTTCAGTTTTTCCACTTTACAAGCTTTTTAATTCGGTTGATTTATTTATATTATACTCTACCCCTCTTTACATGGTATTTAATTACTTTCTATTATTCAGACTTCTGATAGAAAAAATATAATAACAGTTTATTAATTTCAAATAAGGAAACAGATACTAAATGGTAGATAGTAACCTGAATTCAACTATTGGATTATGTATGACTGAAATCACATTCACCAAAATAATATGCTATATTACAAATATCATTATAGAGTGAACAGAATGAAGAATTTGAAATGAATAATATATGCAAAAATGTTATATGAAAACTAACATGGAATGGACATATATATATAAAATAAACATATCATAGTTTTAAATTAACCCAAATTTCCTCATATAAATTCAGGATATGAAAAATATACAGGCTTTTCCATCAGAGTTAAGGTATCTCTTTATTGCTGTCTCTCCCTTCATTCGACTAAAGAGCTTAAGCATGTGTACTGTAAGTTGTACAATATTTACCTTTATGCATGTGGAATTAACAAAGAAATAGCAGTCATTCCCAACTTCTGCCATTTTCAATCTCTTGCTGCTAATCCAATGATTGTTTTTATAAATATGTACAAATTGCAGGAACGCAAATATAAGAACTATCAGTGTGTAAGGGGGAAAACTTGTTCTTTTCCTCAGCCTTTCAGGCTATCAGTAGTATTCCTTTAAAACTGACCTCCTGTTGACAGTATAATTACACAATAGATAATTCTTAAATAAATTTAAATTAGAAGATACCTTCTCTAGCTTTGCAGAAACGTTGAAAGTGGTTACTAGTAATCACACAAACTCAAACTTCCAGAATTTTCCCCATTATTACATAATCCATTGTTTGGTCATCATAAATGACCTCATATGCAACTGTAGGCTACCTCACCTAAGTGGATTATTTCCCTTATCTAATATATATCAAATATACTATACTAAGCATTACTTGAAGATTTTATGCTGTGTTTTATATTCCAGTGTTCTGATTAAAGAAATGTAACTTCAAGTTTTCAAAATTAAAATTGGGTAAGTATTTTATAAGGAAGTTATTTCTATATGTGGTTTTGAAGTAGAACAAAGGTAAATTATATATATATATATATATATATATATATATATATATATATATATATCAAGAAAATAAGTACAATTGATTAACCGTGATACAATTGATTATGTACTTGGTGCTGTACACTGACTTAGGAAAAATCACATGCAGATTATCACATGCAGATTTCAGCACAGTAATAAACATACATGAAAATAAGTAGGAGTACCTATCTGTCCGGTGGCTTTATGGCATTTCCATTCATCCTTTTCATCCTTACAAGACAACTTGCGTCATCCAATAGCAAATGCTGTATTTCCACAGTGCTCGAAAGCTTGAAGAGTTTGTTGAAAACCATGCCAAGTCCTCTGATTTTCAGACCAAAACATTTCAATGAGCAGTCTTGAAAGTCTTCATCCTAGCATCCTAGATCCTATGGGTATCACAACCTAGTGTAGATGAGGACTAGTCATCACAGGGCACCTAGAGTTTAGAGACAACTGACCACACTGGTTCAAAGCATGGTTTGAAATTACTGCAAACTTTGGATTGAAATCTCAACTGATCAAGACACAGATTTCCACTTTAAGTAAAATGGTAAATTGCCATGAATTTTTTGAATCCATAGTATAGAGTATTAATCTTGGAATTAAAACTAAATTTAGAAGAAGGTAGTTCGCTTATAACGAAAGGGATTGAGGCAGTGTTAAGAGGATCAGATAAAGATTCTGCGAAGCACTTGAAAATGTTGATAAATACATAAACATAAGCCTTGCCTTTTGGTTTGCCCTTCTTCTCGTTAGCACTGCAACAGCAAAGTGCTCACCTGAACAGGCAAGTGGGAGCGACACCTCCAAGAAGGGAGGCTCATCTCATCTCCTCCAGATGAATTCCCTGATTAAGGGTGAAGTTTCACTAGTGTGCTTTCCAATACTGCTATCAAGCCGAGTTAAGTGATTTCACACAGGAAAAGATCTGAAATAGTGCTTTTTACCTCTTGACAACTGATGGCATGGCAAAACCAGCCCCCAAACACACACACAAAGTAAATAAATAATAAATAAATAAATAAATAAATAAATAAATAAATAAATTCCTTCATTGTGTAACTTTTGTTAGTCTAGAACACCCCAAACCCTTCACTTTCCTCTTTTAGTTTCTTTCCTTTTCTAATCACTTCTTTTTATTTCCCACTCTCACCCCACTTCCTTCCTGTTGCAGATTTCATTTTAGTCTTATACAGAAAGCTATGATTCTACTCGAGAGGATTTTTTGACTCCCTGTAATGAAAAGTGATAGGAAATTTGTCTTCAAACAACAGATCCAGAAATTCTGTCTTGTGCTGATCAAGATAGATTCACATGGAGTTTCTTCTTGGTGTGTGCTAGATTAATAACACATCAGAGAAGAAAGATAGTCCTTTTCAATTTATTATTCTGTAGTACTCCTCTAAGGACAGGGGTGGAGGTGGGGCTCTACCAGCTCTGTATGGGAATTAAGGGAAGCGAATGGCTGCTATCCATTAGAGACACAGTTTACATCTATAACCTGATCCTGTGATGTTTCTCTGCTGTGGACTCTTCTGTTTCTGTTGGAAGCATTTCTCCAGGCATTTAAGAAACCAATATATAGCTGTTGGTCCTTCCAGAGAGAGGCTTAGAGCAGGTAGAATGTTTTTTGGAAGATAATCTTTTCTAAGAAATGGCAGAATGTTGGATCTAGAATATTCTGTGGCAGTTTGGGAAATGACAGTTGAGAGCTTTAAAGGTCATTTAATTGTTTGAAACCCACAAGACAGGCTGTTGTTTAGGATTACTCTAGAGCCTCAAAGAAGGTACCAACACTTGACTTTAAAATGCTAAAAAGTTTCCAGTTTCAATACAAGAGAGCCAGAGACACATTGGTACTCTCTGCCTATACCAATCCCTTTGTTTTGTATAAAGTTGTGTGTGTTTAGGTATTTTTCTCTCCCTCTCTCCCTTCCTCCCTTCTGATTCAATAATCACAAAACTGTAAACTTGTTAGGAACATTTTATTCTTTGAGAATATACTGACATATACATACTTCCAAGTGAGACAAGGTTATTTGATTTTTTTTTCAAGAGCTAAGTAAGTAAAATGCTAGGCAGTAGGATATGTGCTGATTAAACATTTATAAAAATATTAATTGGAATTATAAAACAATAATAGAAACATAAATTGGCTTCTCCAACTACCTAAGATAGTAAGAGCAAAAATCTCCCTATGGTCTCAGGTTTCAATAAGATAGGTCTACTGCTAGAATATATTTTTTATTCAAGCAACAATTTTATTATTTCCTTCTAATGTCCTTTTAGACAGTAAATCAAATGAATCTGTTTCAAATCTTTTGTTGGATTCCCAAGATAAACTTGACAGAGCTTTTTGTTATTTCTATGTTTTTGGACTTTAAATTTTACTCTCATTGCAAAGGCTATCAAGAAACAAATTATACACTGTGTGCTGATTAATTCAAACAGAAACCCGGTTTTCTTAATTGTAAGGTTTGTTTCTTTTAATATTTTTCCTGGGAATTCAGGTTTTCTGTCTGAACATTACGAAATGTCTGAAAGTATTTTCTAAACTTCTCTGGGTTTCCAATCCCTTAAATTCGATAGAAAATAGGCAGGTAAGAGAGTTTCAGTAGAAACGTGCTAAATTGCATCCTAAAGTGACTCATCACTTATTATTTAACATTAATTCCCGAAAACATCATCGTTACTAAGTCGTGGCCAAGTACACAACATCGGGTAACGGTTCTTTTTTTTTTTTTTTTTTGATGTTTTAATTGGACATAAAAACATAGTGGAAATCACGCACGTGGAGGCGCATGCTCTGTAGCCTCACGGTCGCACTACAACTCCCAGAATGCACCGCGACTAGGCGGTCGCTTCCGGTAGTGAGTCTCCGCCTCTCGCCGGGGTGGACTTTGATGGTGCTGTTTTGGATCCTCTGGCTGGTGTTTGGATTCTCCCTGCTCCTAGCTGCAGATTTCCTCCGTCCGGGACCCAGCTCAGTGGAGACAGGTTGCGCGTGGGCACCATGAACCGTCTGGGCTCGGTGCAGCGGAAGATGCCGTGCGTGTTTGTGACGGAGGTGAAAGCTGAGCCTTCAGCCAAGCGGGAGCATCAGGTATCCGGTGGCGTGTGCTGCTGGACCGCTCCTCCAGTACAGAGCTGCTGCCCGGGAGCCCTGCGCGTTTTACCCGGGAGGTTTAGATGAAGTTCCCATTTTCCCAGATCTGCAGCTTCTTGTATCTTCTTAGTTGCAAGGAGTGTGGGCGAGTCCTTTTTAGATTGTACCCTCCCTGATCAGATGACTCAAACGTGTTCTAGCAGATTTGAAAATCTACATCCTAATCTTTCCTTGACAGCCTCGGAGTAATGAGATATCATGGCTGTCTAACGTAGAACTACTGTCAAAAGTCTGATGAGAAGGTATTGTTTACTTGTGTGCTAGGAGCCCATGGCAGTGTTGACAGCTAGCCTAACTAGGTCACGCAAATCAGACCTCGTGTACTTTCTTGTTTAATTTGAGATCTCATCCTAAGGTTTACTAGTCGTGTTGCTACTTGATTTTGCACATAGCAAGCCTTCAGTGAAAGTAAGATGATCGAAATATAGATAGCTTATGTCAGCGTGATTCTTTGAGGTGTAGCAAAGTTCTTAACCTCTCAACTCAGACAGTATCAGCATGTGCATCTGAAAAGACTTCCACTCTTTTCAATAGTACCGCTGTACCATTGGCCCTCTGGTCTTTTTTATTTTTAAATTAGCATACTAAGAAGTTTCCTTGTGGCATTTTCATAGTAATTTTGGTTGTCCCCTCTCCACTTCAACAAACTTCACAACCTCCCTGCAGGCTCCAGCTTGCAGCCCGCCTCCCCCGCACACACCCCCCCCACACACACACCATTACATCTTCCATTTTGGTGCTCTATTGCTCTCCCCTCACCTTTAGAGTCTGGCTGTTAACACACAGATGACCAGATAAATTTTGGGCTCCGTGCAAAGTGGGAGACTTCCTTCATTAACAGGGCTTCTTCTCTGACCTTGTCTGGGGAATTCTAACCCCCCAACATAAGCAGCCTCAAGTAGAGCACCCTTTCTAATGGTAAGAACCTGTTCATGCAGCACCTGAGATTCCTGAAATGCTTCCCCCTTCTAATGAGGCATTTTGGTACCCTAAACTCTCAGCCAATGACTTTTGCCCATCTACCCCCCCCCCCAAAAAAAAAACCATTATAAGCCTTGAACCACCCAAAGTAATCTTGCCTCTCTTAATAGTTGGTTCCAGTGTGGTTATTCATGGGGCTTCTGAACCTCCTTCTGAACCTCCTTCCCCTACTCAACCTCGGCTCATCATCTCTGTTCCTTTGTGGACTATATTAGCTGATGACCCAAGAGAGTGGGGAGACCCATATGTTAGCAACTTAGGATAAACTCCAGTCTTGCACATGCTAGGCAAATGCTTTCCTGTTGAGCTACATCCCTGTCCTGTAAGATGCTTTTAAAATCTGTGACTTGAATGCAGGTTTTATGCAGGTATGTAAGATCATCACAACAGACCAGAGATGACATGCTAAGAGAAGAGAAACGTGTTGTTTTATCATGCTGTTGAGAATAGACATGAAGAGAGTGTATTCATGAAGCATTTTGACTTTGGCTTTTTAAAGAAATTGTCAATTTTAGGAACTGCTGGGTCTTGGGGTTTTGTTTTATTTTAAGGGAGGGGAAGGGACATTGAACGGAAGACTAGAATTATCCCAAAAAGTTCTTAGTGATGCATATCTTTGTGGCGTCTTTATGATGAGCTCACATCTTGTTCATATGTGTGTGTGTACATATATTTAACATGTTTCTATGGCAAGTATGTGGATTTCAGCTTTGCAAGAAAGTCTTAAAAACTTAAAATAGGAGCTACCTTTTTCTCATTTTTTGAAAATGTGGCCTGAGACAGGCCATCTCTCCTAGACTCCCACTACAACTAAGAACCAAGTGTGATTTGAATAACTAAATTTTGTAATTATTTCATTATATTTCATGACTCCAAGACTTAATTTTGGAGTATGGGGAATCTCCATTGGTGAATACACAGGTTGAACCAGAACAGCCTCTAGAATTACAAAAGCACATGATCTAATTTTACCTGCACTTCGTTCTAAACACACCTAAACACACGTGCTGGGACTTGCATTCTTCGGAGAATGTCCTGACTGTGGGCCTTTTCTTCCCATCCATCAGATCTGCTCAGATGTTCCTCCATAGAGTACTCCCTGTGGCATTTTCCTATCCCATCTCTTTGGTACTTCTCAGTGTTGTAGCTCACTAAAGCAGAACACTTCTTTATCCTTCTCTGTATTCCCATGTCAAGAATAGTGTTTACTGTAGTTAATGCATAGTCACAAAGAATGGGATTGTTCCTCTTGAACCTGTGCTGAAGATGCGTGTTTCCTGGCTTCATTGTGGTGACTGAGAAGCATGTAGATACTCAACAGTCTGTATAGAAGTTGAATTTTACTGTGACCACATTAAAAAAGGGTAGGTGAGCTGGGGTGCTAGGACAGGAGGGGAATCCCAGAAGTAGAGGCTAAAGCAAAAAGGTCAGGACATCAAGGGCAGTCTGGGCGCCAGAGTGACACAGGCCTAAAAACAAACATACAAACAAAAACAAACAAAAAACAAAACCAAATCAAACAAAAAAGCAAATAATTCAGGAAACTTAATAAATTACTTTTCTTACAGAATAGAAAGCAGGCAGACCTTTAGAACTGATGAAATTAGGCACAGTTCAGATGAACCTTTGTGTGAAGGCAGAGGCTGTGTATCTTACATCAGTTTTTTTTTTCCCCTCTTTCTCTTCTTTTAAGCCATTTAAAGTTTTGGCAACTGAAACTCTAAGTGAAAAGGCGTTAGACGCAGATGTGTACAATGCGGTTGCAACAGAAAAAGTGGATGGAACATGTTGCTACGTTACTAACTACAAAGGTAAAAATCCATCTGTCATGTTTACTAAAAGTACTGCACCAACTGAGATGGATATTGACTCTTAACTCTTGAAAACCTGTCATAGTGAGTAAAAAAATCAGTGATTACGCTTCCTTGGGGAAAGAAAAGACATTTGACTAACATTCACCTGATACCATGAAAGGCCAGGTAGCCCAATAAAGAGGTGTCACATAGTCCCTCATTTGCATAATCTGTATCAGTAATGAGGAAACTGAGTCTTAGTCTGGTTCAGTAATGTCTAAAGCATTCAGTTACTGAATGGTTGCACAGTAATGGAACCTGGCTTTGTCACCTCGAGAGCTTGTTGTCACTGCATCGTCACAGTGCTGTGTCCGGTGCTTTCATTCCCACTGGCCAAGGCTCTGATCAGGTCCATACTTTAGAAAGTTCACAGTGATGATATTAGGGAGAGCCATTATTTGTAGTTACTAACAGATGGGATGGTGGGATTAACTCTCAGTTCCCAGGACAACAATAGGTAGATGAGCTAGATGTCATTCCTTGGTGTCAAGGAATGTTCTGAAATGCACTTTGAAAACCTTTTCAACTGTGATAAGATACACATAAAGATTTGCCATCATAACTGGACTTTAAAATGGTGTGTAACACTGGCATCAAAGACATTCACATGGTCATACCGTCACCGCCATTCACCTCCAGAGTACGTCGTCTTCTAGAACTATAACTGCTTCCTGGGAACTCCCTTATCCACCTCCCCTCGCCACACAGCCCAGCCCCCAGCCTCTTAGCCCAAACTACTTTGTCTCTTAATTTGACTATAGGTAACACATGTAAATGGTCTCTTTGTGGCTGGCTTACTTTCTTAGTACAGTATTTTACCCTATTGGAATATATCACATGTCAGATCATATACATTTTTAAGATTGCTTAATATATACATAGCACATTTTGTTCACTTCAGTCTCTGATGGGCATGTGGATTGCTCCAATCTTTAAGCCATTGTGGAAAATAAAACTAACAATGCTAGATTACTCTCCTTCTGATTTGGGGGGTGTGAACCTAAACATGGCATTACTGGATCAAATGTTAATTTTGTACCCATCATTCATTTTCCATAATAGTCACATTCAAAGTTCTTGCTTCTAGATATTCCAATTTTTCTATATCCCTACTAGGACTGTCATTATTATTGGCGATAGTAGCCATACTAATGACACTAGGTGAAGTACAGTTTTGCATGTTCACCAGTAAAAAAGACAAGAGGTTTATTCAACCAGAAACAATATCATTTTGATCTAGTTCTTTATCTTATGTATATGGATAGCTAGTAGTAGTATTGTCATTGACAGTTTTTATGAAACTCCGATTTATATGTTTGAGTAAGCTCTAGCGGGCTCGTATTTCATATTCGTGATGCACATTGACGGGAGCAGTTAGTGTTGGAGCGTTACTGCTCTGGAACGCGCACAGGACGGAGATGAAGAAATACATAAGAAAACGAGGATATCAGAAGTAAGACTAGCGCAGAGCTGAGCAGCACGTCTGGAAATGCCACGGGAAATCTGTATTTTATCCTGCTTTTGTCCTGTAGGACACATTTTTCTCAGAGTAGGAACCACTGATGTGATCAGGTAACACCTCAGAATCAGGAAGTATTCAGAATCTGGTTTTGCTTGTTACAAAAACATCTTCCAGCTACATAAGCAGTGGCAACAGCAAGCTAGGCAGAAGTCTCAATGAAATCAGGTGCCTTCAGACTATTACACCCGGATTACAAAACAACCCCCCTCGTCAGTGTATGTAATGAATTAAGCCCATATTGTAGGGTAATATTCAGGGCATGTGTTAACACAATCACCTGGCTATGCTCCCTCATACCAGGGAACATTCTGATCAAAGAGTCATGCAGTTTTGTCACCCTCTTTATTTAACAAAGGAAGTTTAACATCATACTGGGATGATGCCTTAGTGCTACACATCACAGATTCTATTTCTTTTGTCTTTCAAGGATGTTGGATGTCTTACTGTAAAGATGACTGGCTTGTTTGTTTGCTTGTGGTTTCTTTTACTTTGAAATGTCTTTCAAGACAAACTTTGTTGCCTTTTATTACTATATTTTTAGGTCAGCCATACCTTTGGGCTCGACTAGACAGAAAACCAAACAAGCAAGCTGACAAAAGATTTAAAAAATTTCTACATTCAAAAGAAAGTGCAAAAGGTTAGTGGGTTTTTCTTTAAACTTTTCAGATTTAAAATGTTGAAACTTGTTGTTTATTGCTATGGTTCTTCTATGTATATCCATCTTGAATTTCCATCTATGGGAAAAATAATTTCATATATGATAAATATATAATATATATGATAAATATATATTAGTAATAAAAAATTGACATAGTGCTCTGACAGAGACAGTCTGGTGGGCATACACACATGAATAATGAAAAACAATCTATGCTGTTTAAACATACAGTATTACCTGAGATACATTTTCGTTTTGTTTATATGAGAAAAATATTTTTCTAAGTTGTTATAAATATGAAGATTTTTTTATTATTGCATTGATGACTATATTATACACATTCATTACCTATACTGATCCATATATATAACTTATAAAGTACTAAGTAGCAAACACATTAAAACTCATAAATCCTCACAGAATATTGGCTACTTTAGACGACAGTGTGTATACGTGGTATTGTATTGAAAGTTGAATATTTACAGTGTTAGTTCCCTAATTTGGAAGGCAGTTACATGGCAGTGATAATAGAACTAACCACATCTGAAATTGATGGATTTGTTATTTCCACTTTGCGTCGGCTTTGTATTTTGTGTCTTAAAGCATACACATAAAGTGTAATGATTCCTTTTAGAGTTTCATTGGAACACGGAGGAAGACTTCAAGCCTGTCCCAGAGTGCTGGATACCAGCAAAGGAAATAGAAAAACAAAATGGGAAGCCGGTACCCGATGAAAACGGACACATTCCTGGTATCACACAATCTCCTCCCAAGTGTGTTTTGTGTTTAGTGTAAGAGACAAACAAAAAAGGTCCAATCAGGAACTTGTTTTAATCTAGCTCTTCAGTTTATTTATATTTATAGTGTAAGATTTCTGAATGAAGTTCACTGAAAAGTCTAACAGTTTATATTAAAAATAAAGGAGGGGATACTTTTAGTTTGAATCTTTCTAAAGGATGAGCATATTTTATCAGATTTTGGTTAGAGTAACTTGTTTCTTTATTTGCAGCAAATTTTACGTATTGAGGACACTTATTCTAGCAATAAGAGTAAAAAACAGTAACAACACATAGGAAATCAACAAACTTTTGAGCATGATTGGAACAATGGTATATGCTGTGGAACACCTATGGTATCTATTTGTTATCTTTGACACTAGAGAGAAACCCACTTTATTAAATGAAAAAAGTTTTGACAATACTAGGCAGTTAGAATGCTAAAGCTTTTTTAAAAGAAGAAAGAAAAAAGTTTAATCCTGCCTCAGGATAGTGTTCAATTGCTCCTGAACCAAGACGAGTTTTTTGAAGAATATGTTTAATTCATGTTCATATTCAACAGGATAAACAAATGAATACTTTGTGATTATAACAAAAATAGTGGAACTGTTCACTTCCTCAGATTTTCAATGTCTGTATAAGGGAATCTAGACAAGCAGGAATGTTGATAACCCCTCAAAAAAGGTCTGTATCATTTAATAGGACCAACGTGAAAAGGATACTTTTTTCTTGAACAGGCTGGGTACCAGTAGAAAAGAGCAGCAAGCAATATTGTTGGCACTCGTCTGTAGTGAATTATGAGTCTGGGATTGCCCTGGTACTGAGGCACCATCCTGACGATCCCGGAGTTTTGGAAATCAGTGCGGTTCCTCTGTCAGATCTTTTAGAGCAAACCTTGGAGCTGATAGGAACGAATATCAATGGAAACCCATACGGTAAGTGAAGGTGTTCATTATAAAGAGAAGTCCTAACGTCAAGCCGAGAAACATACTGAGGAAGGAACTAACACATTGGTGTCCATTTGCTAGGAGCACATCCGTTTCTGCAAATCTTATGTTCATGGGAAAATTTATACATGACTAATCATTTGGGTTTATTAATGAACAAGGCTGATTTGATCCTATGATCTTTCGCTGTGATAGCTTTATAAACTGTGCATGAAAAGGAATCACTGAGATGCAGCTTTTCATTGCTTTACAGATTTTAGGTGAGTTAGCTGGGTGAAATTGCACTGTTCCCTGTTAGGTCATTAATAAATACAGGTAAGAGTATGAATTGGCATCATACTGTATAAAGCCTCGCTTGGAATGTATACCATAATGAATTGAGTCAGTCAGTGGCACCCTGGAGTACAGAGTTGAAAGGAGAGTCATAAATTAAAGACACTAAAGCTGTACTAACAATTCTACAGAGATCAAAAGCAGATTGAAGGTATGGATGTGGTCCAGTCGGTAAGAGTTTGGATCCCTAACACCCATGTTAAGAGCTGGGCACAGTGGTGCCTGCCTGTAGTTCAGGAGCCACAGGGGTATACATAAGAGGCTCCCTGGGCCTTGCAGGGGATGCAGTATAGCCTAGCCACTGAGCTTCAGGTACAGCAAGACATCCTTTTTCAAAATAGAAGGTAGGAAGCAATTGAAGATACCCAGTACTGACCTACTGTCTCCACAGTGCAGGCTGCAAACGCACACACACCATTACTCCACAGAAACATGTATGCAGACACAAATTTAAATAGGTTTAGGTGATGGATATTAAACTTATATACAGGATCAAAGATGGCATTTGGTATAAATGCCACAGAATAAAAGCAGAGTGTAACTAATGATATAACACATGGTAACAATTTTTTTTTTTCTGTAAAAAATGTTTGTTAGCCAATCTTTTAAGCTGTTTTAGCCGTATCTTTGAAATGGGCTATCAGTAGTACTTACATGAATATAGAAGGCTGCATTCCAGTGAAACTACTTACCATAGGTGTCTGTCTGGCCTTTGTCCACAGCTCAGTGCCCCAACTCCCAGTGTAGAGAGTACATGAAAGTGGAATTTAGAGTTGATGGAAGAAGTACCACACTTGGGTGAGAAAAGAACTTAATGTACTTAGGATTATTCTCTACACAAAATCAAACCTGTTGTTAGAATTATTCCTAGATGTTTAGACATTTAAACACTTGGTGAGATCTATTTTCTCATTCCTTCTGAAAAGAATGTGACTGAGAAAGGTTTTTTTTGTTTTTGTTTTCATTTTTTTTTTTTTTAAACTTTACCATTTAGGTCTGGGAAGCAAAAAATACCCATTACATTTTCTTACCCCACATGGAGCATTCCAAGTCAGAAATCTGCCTACACTGAAACACAATGACCTGCTGTCCTGGTTTGAAGACTGCAGAGAGGGTCAAATTGAAGGGATTGTGTGGCATTGCGGTGATGGCTGTTTAATTAAGGTAATGACAAAAAAAACACCTTAAATTAGTTCTTAAAGATGTGACACTCAGTTTCTTTGTCCAGACTGTATTAATTCTGGCATGTAGTTAGAATATTTCTCTCTTTTAATATGCCACCAGGCTAAAACAGAGTCACGTTTATGGGACGTGTCAGACTGACTACGTACTGATGGAGATGTTTGGCCAGGCATTGTCTATATACCAGATGTGCTTTGGAGTTAAAGTGATAACACATTCCCTCCTGGGAATTCATGGAGCCCATTGGGTTCTCTGAGACATGCTGTGCCTAGCATAACGCAGCACTTCCCAAATTAACTTATTAGAAAATTTGTTGATTAGAAAAGTATCTAGTGGCACGTTACACAGAATGAATTCCTGTACCCTTTGTGCCCTGTCCCATGGACTTGTCTATCTGATTTCTCACTGGTATATGAAATTCATAATGTTCAAATCTGACTCTTCCCATTCCCATCCCTACATCCGTCACTGAAATCAGAAGCCTGTGTTCACTGTTTAGGTCCTCTTGCTGTTACTTCATATGTCTAGTTACCAGTTCTATAAAGGCCTCATCTATTGAATCTCTTCTTTATATTCAACTAGGTGCTAAGTTTAATTTAGGCCAGAATGCAGTTCAATGGCGTGAATTACTCTGTTGCCCCTAAAACACTCATCTTTCACCTCTACCCTGATTGTGTTCATTCTGCACAGCTGACTTAGTCCTGCCTACATAATGCTGTTCAGGACTTGCCATGACACAGCCCCTTCTTAACGCCCCATCACCGTTTTCCACAACCATCTGAGAACACACGTTGTCTGGTTGTTGTGTGACTGCTTAGTTCTAGGGAGATACTGTGCCCACTTACCACAGTAAGGTACTGAGGACAGACCCAGTAGTGACTTTATTGGGGTTACTTACAGGAATATGGGGAAGGAGCTGCTTACAAGGAACATGGCGGACCCAAAGGCTGCGGCATCAGTAAAAAGCCCTCCCAACTTGGATGACTCACAAACGCAGCATCCTGGGCACTCCCTGCACATTTTGCAGGCAGCTCCCAGCTCCTTTGGTGGGAGGAGACACTTCTCTCCAGCAATTGTTAGTGCTCCTGTAATCTTGCAGAAAGTTTTGGGAATCTTGACAGTTTTAGGGATCTCCCTGAGACTTGTGAAGTTTGTTTACTTCCTGGGTCTTGAAGAGGCTCCACCTAGATGGGATGTTTATGTGGAGAAAACAGCTACCCAGCAATGTCCTAAGGAACTGTGATCTCAGACTGTAGTCATCAACAGACTATATTCATTAAGTTTTTAAGGAGCAGCTCCTGATTTGGTCACTGGGATTTTTCAGGTATTGGCAGAGTTAACACAGTATTGCTCTGCCTTCAGGAAGCTTATATTCAAATGGGGAAGACACACAGCACTGTGTCCACAGAACAGCTGTGACATTTAATTCAAATAAGGAAAAGGTGGACCCTTACATTGTACCTGAAATTAAGCATTTACAAATAAGTTACAATGTTATTTACAGACTAAAGCTAATACCATCATTTTTTTCTCCTTACAGGTCCACCGCCACCATCTTGGTTTATGCTGGCCACTTCCAGATACTTACATGAATTCCAAACCAGTTATTATTAACATGAACCTGAACAAATATGACTGTGCTTTTGATAACCAGTCTTTGTTTAATCAGTTTTCAAAAATAGATAAACAGAAATTTGATAGGCTCAAAGATATAATACTTGGTGTATAAAATGGAAATCATAGTTGGGATTATTGTGATTTTCTAATATTGAACAGTTTGCCATGTTTACAGAGGTTAAAACCTTCAATTTAATTTTGCTAGCTGTTTGGCAAAACATATGTCAACTTCTAAACATGTTTCTAGGTATTTATAGAAACCATTGTTAGGATTTGAATATCTTAACACAAAAAAGTATAAAATAATCAACTTTAAATAATAAAATTATTATAAACATACCTTTATGCTTTTTGAAAATTTAAGATATTATGAAAATAGGAATATTTATCATAGCTCATTATGCATTGTATAGTCATAAATTATTGATGTCTTCAAAAATATACTTTTCTAACAAGTTAAAACTAAATGTGATTTTATTTTTAAGCAAAAAAATACAATATTTTGAGATGTAAATTCTGTAATTCAGAGACTGCTTGATTTCCAGCTGAAACTTTTTAACTCATAAAATAGTTTTAAATTTACAGGTAAACGAGGCCATTAATAAATAGGGAAACTATTAGGACTTTCTCCATCTTCCTGCTGTTCAGAAGCAGCAAGAGGGCTAGGCAATTCAAAGCCAAACTGTTCCGAAAGTTTTTTTAACTTCTCTTCTAATAGGATATTCTTTTTCACTTCTTCCTTATAATTGTACTTCAGGTCTTCAATTTCTTCAAAGAATGAAGGATCAAAATTTCCCAGTTCTTTTTTCAGCTTTTTAATTTCCTCCTAAAAGTCACATACAGGATACATGGTTTTGGTTTAAAATTTAGGTTTAATTATAAACATAAAAACTCAAAATCTTAAATATAAATATTTTTCTTTATACTTTACTGTTTAAGGTTCCATTGTACCATGTGAATAATGTACAAGCTGCCATCTTTGGCTAAATTTTAAGGTTGAATCTTTAAACTGCCTCAGATATTCTCAGGCAAGTGAAAGGAACTTTGCTTTTTCCAACATTTAAGAGTTTTCAGTATTTTTAATGTTCTGATTTTTTATCTTTTGTATCTAATATTCATGATCATGGAAACGCTGGGATTGTAGAAGTTCAGCAGCTGCTGAAGGAGAGTGAATGCTCATGGCATTTACACTAATCAGTGATGAGCAGCCAGTGCTCACTTCCAGAACACTCTGTTTCTGGAGTCTTAAGGGAGAGAACAGAAATGATTTAAGGGAAAGATCCCTGAAAATAATTTCAAAAGATACTTAGAAAACACTTTTTCCACCATGACTCACAAATTAAGAAAATAGTTTAAAAAAATGCTATTAAAAGATGTGCATTGGTTACAATTTAAAAATAAATTTATTCTCTAGTCCTGTTTGTCTGATTTTTTGCTGTTGATAGTTGTTTAATAAAAAGTTGTCATGAGTCAAATAATAGTATAGTAAGTGTGAAATAAATCCATGAGGTTTTAGGCACATACTTAAAGATGGTGATCATAAAAAATTGTTTCCCAAAGCTGTTTTCATAAAACACTGAGCATACTAAAGTTAGATACAAATAAGAATTACCTTCAAATGTTGCTTTTCTAGCTCCGACTTTCTGAGCTGTGTCTCCTTGACATTTATCTTTTCCTTTAGTTGATCAGAATCTGCCAAAATAGTCAGAAAAATTATGACTTATGTTTTTCTTTACTGTGAGTGAGATAAAGATAGAGGATTTGTTTCAGAATAATCAGGAAACCTGAATCCTAAGGTCTGGCGTCATCTGGCACTGTATGGTGGGAAAACTTCTCATGCAAACTGTATGCTACCACTAGTAGGTATGGTCATAACACAGCAAGCAAGCAGGTGTAGCTGCTAGGTATCAGAAATGTGGACTATTCTTTTTTTATATGGGAGAAATTCTTATTTTTGAGAGAAAAATCTTGCATCCAGTAAATTTGTTAGGTATTAAATATACAGGCAAAGAGCTAAAAAAGTAAGCCGGCCATTTATGCCTTCACACCAAATAGCTTTGGCTACTGCATATAAGTTTTTTTTACACTATATGCAAAATATCTAAGACTAGGTATGTGGCACAGATGAAGGAGTGCAGGAGGAATCAGCTGCTGTCACATAGCACAAAGTTAAGAAATAGTGTTATGTCATCTATGCAATCTTTGAAAGGTAAAGAGTTTTGTTTTAATGTTCAAGTTTGATGAAATAATGAAGTTTTCATGATAAGGAGAAGAAGTGTATTGGAGTGCTCTGGGGTGGTCTTCTATAACTCAGATACAGGACAAACAAACAAGGTTTCTAATCAAACAACAATGCATTTTCCTTTTGGAGGCAAAAAAAAAAAAAGTTCCCTTTCTATTTTTATGTCATATCTCATGTAAATCTCAATTCTACAGATGAAGAAAAGAAACTATTTGTCTTCCTGAGACTGGCCTATATTATTGAACAAGATGATTTGTAGTCACATTTTCCTACAGATAATTTTTATGACTAAATTAAACTGTCATATATATACACATGCACCACATTTTATCAGTGCATCTACTGATGGACACAGTGGCTGATTCTATTACCTGTCTACTTCGAGTAGTGCCCCAGTAACATGATCAGTATTCATATATTTATTAGCTTGAGCATAGCCACTGAGATCTTATACACACTGTTGATGAAATACTGCATGAAGAAAATATGTATGTATATGTCTTCCTTAAGACATATGCAATATAAGGGCTTGGGATTGGACAAATTAGAGAACTTCCTAACAAATCAACAAATCTTTGGTACTACTTTAAGAGCACACCAAACTAGCAGTCACACGTCACTTCCAGGTGGATGAATCTTGGCTTCAGTTATCAAGAAGCACAGTAGCACAGGGGTTAAGACCAGGCATGGCAAGGAGTTCTGAACATTCGTAGAATTAATGCTTGGCCTTTCTATGCCACTTCCCATTTGTCTCTATCTTGAGGATAGGTTATTAATCATTTATCAAGAATAAAATAAGGACAACAATACTGATCCTATAACATTCTAAGAAAAAAGTAAAAAAGCCCTAAGCATAGTGCCTGGCACAAATCATATCACACATTAACACAAAGGAGCATCAGGACTCTAGGAGCTCTATGAATAGTTTGAAATGATTCAGAATATAAAACTGGTATAATCCTGTGGGGTGGAACATGACACTTCAACTATCAGATAATGGACAGCATAGTTAAGTTAGGCGGTACAGTGCATTTATGCCAGAAGCTATAGAACTATGCTAAGCATCTACCCTGAGGTAAACTGCTCACTGGTATCCATTCACTAGCATACTATGGAATTATTAGAGACATGAATGATGTATAGATCTTAAGAGGTCTCCGTAGTAAGTTAAGGGTAGCTGGAATTATAGTGTGTGCATCCAGAAAAAAATATACAAAATTCAATATACATATAAGGTCTATTCCCTTTTTAAAAGTGATATCCTATAAACTTGGTAGAAAACAATTAGCAAATGGATCACAGGAGAAATGAAAATATATTCATAAATATACATGCTCAAATTGTCATCTTAGATTCTACAAACAACTCATCCTCATATTTTCTTTAGTTTCAAAAGAAAATGTTCAGTGGTCTTAACCCACTGAGGTTGTCCCATTAAAAGTGTCAGAGCTAGGATTCAATCTCTAACTGGGTATACAGGTACCCAGTTCGCCAACCCAGATCACTTCTATATTAAAACTGAATGTCAAGCACTAACTTGTTATCCCTGGGATGGAGATATATACATATGCATATACATAGACATAGACACATACACATACATAGTGATGAACAGATCTGCAAATAAATAAGAACAACTGTATTCTGTATGTGAGCACACATACAAAAAATGTTTCATATGTAATTATGTTTTATACAGGGGAATGACTGCTAACTTCTGAATAGGAACAGAAGTGAACAAAAAGTACATATTTATTTTATAACAAAAAAATACAAGTATTTTTTAAAACTACTAACCTAACATTAAGAGAACAATTAGTAACATTTAGAAGAAAATGTTCATAGGAACTGAAGGAAGTATACTTAGACACTAGAGGCAAACAGCAGCATTCATTGCTTGGTAACATGCTATGATTAAGTTTGTAACACCTAGCTGGATTAAAAAGAGAAAAACTTAGGTCACTTAGTAGAATAAGCAATTCAAAGTGATAAATGGGAATATTTTCAGAGCCTGCGTGTGGGGCTATTCAGAACATTCAGAACATTTAGAACAGCTCTGAATGCTCCTATCAGGTATTTGACACTAATGATCAGAAATACTAAATATACACACTAAATCAAAAATTTGGGATCATCAATAAGTTTTATGAAATACATTACCAAGTGTGCTACTTTCAGCTCCAGTTTGGTCCTTGTTAATTTCTATCTGCTGGATTAATTCTGCCTTTTCTTTATCCAGCTGATTATTGGCTAATCTAGAATACAATGAAGCATGTTAGAAAAACAAACAATAGGTGCTACTCTCTATGTAGCCAACTCATATAGAGTAGTGGTAAATGGTACTCAGATCAGGTTTCTGGTGGCCTGTGCTGGTTACCATATCCTGAAGAGCTGGCATAGCATTATCAAGGTAAACAGGTTTCAATGCTGCCAATTACCAAACAACACAAAATCTAAATTTTTACTATCAGTCCTGATACTATTTTCAAGAGTAGTTTTCTTACAATGAAAGGAGACGAAATTCCTAGAAGCATAGAATTACTTCTTTCTCTTTCATTAAGATTTGCTTCTGGAATGCTCAGGTTGAATGCTATGCTGCTAGAAACATTTAAACTAGGTTACACTATGAAAACACTATTATTGGGATCTCCCTGCCCCCACCCCTCTCTGTTTCCAGACACAGGACAAAATAATCATAAACGTGGGAAAACCATAGTCTTTAAGGATAGCAAGTCTGGCTATATAAAATAATTTTATAAAAATAAATAAGTGGTCAGGTGGCTCAGTGGATAAGGATGTATGCCCTGAAGCTGATGGCCTGATTTAAATTCTTGGAATGAGAGAACCAACTCCTACAAGTTGTTCTCTGACCTTCCTTAGCACATGGCATGCACATTCCCCCTAACCCCTTCATGCAGCATGCACA